CGTTTGCCATCTAGTGGACAGAGTGGTAACTGCAGGCATCCCCAAAGCAGGCAGCCGCGAGGTCCCATGGGGTGGTGACCAGTGACCCTGATGCAGGGGGACAAGGGCAGTGGGAGAGGCACTAGGGGCTATCATCGACCCACAGCACCCACGCAGACCCCTCAGGGCTTCCTGTGAGCCGGGCAGTGGTGATCACCATATCACCGTGTTCAGAAGTGGATGGACAGGCCCCTCTCTCTAGTCCTCCTCTAAGCTTCCTCTCAGCCTGAATGGTGGCTGTGCACGAGGCCCCCGGGCCTCGGATCCAACCAGGATCTCTGCCCGGGAGACAAGAATCATGCCCTTCTCTGAGAGCCAGGCCCAAATTCATGCCCTGAATCTCACCCTGAGCACATTCGGGCAGAGTGAGATTCTACAGCCTCCGGTCACACCTAAGACGCTAGCACTTGGGGAAGTGGAGTGGGCGTCAAAGGGCTCTCTGTTCTCCTTTTGCAACATTTTTGCAAGTCTGGCATTGTATCAAATGGAGAAGCTAACAGCGGTTCAAATAAATAACTAGCAAAACACGGAGCCTTCTGCTCCCAGACACCTCCAGGTCAGACCCTGAACCACCTTGACCCGTCTCCTGCCCGGTCATCTTCCATCGCTCAGAAAATGGCCGTCGTTTGGCCCAAAATCCACATCGAACCTTCCAGCAAGTTTCTCGATTCTAGTTCCACTGTAGGAAGCTGAACCTCCGCCCCCTCTCTTGTCTCACCCCTGCTGGGCCCAGAGCACCAGGCTCTCATCTAGAACTGACCTGGCCTAGGACCAGCCCACCATGCGTCCTGGAGGTGGTGGCAGCTGTCCCTCTTGCAAGTGCCCCGCTGACACCTCCACTCTCTCCCCTGTCCCCCAGAGCCTCTCACCCCTGGTGCTTAGGACGTCCCTCAGGTCTGGACTTCTCTCAGCGGCGTGGCTTCCTTTCTGCTCCTGGGTGCTTATTCAACACACTCCCACCCCTTTCCCTCCCATGGTTGGTGCCCTATGGATTCAGACCTCAGCTCTGATCACCTCCTCCAGAAAGCCTTCCCAGACTCCTCCCTCTCCAGGCCCACCACCCTCGCCCGCCCCCCCCCCCAACCCAGAAACAGTAACTTCCTCACAAAGCAAGTCCTGGAGTTGGGTGGACTCCTGGAGACGCCCTGTGTTTGCATAAGGGGGGACTGCTCCCTGGGGTTTGCTTAGCTGTGACTTTCACAGACTGGACATGGGCTGCCCTTTCCCCTGCTGTGCTAAGTGCCCACTCTAGGGCAGCGGTCTGTGCAGATGTGCGTTGGTGCGGCTGTGGGGGTGTGGCTGGCCATTGCAGGGTGCACTGTGGCCGGGCCGTCCTTCGTGGCCCTGTCTTCTCCCTCGAGATGTCCGCATCCCTGGGCAGCTCAGGGTGTCCATGAATGCTCCACGGGCAGGCCTGAGGCCTCACCCCTCTCCTTCCTCCCAGCGGTGCCCCAGGGACCGGCTGCTCCCACCAACTCTGATCTGCTCAAGGCATCTCTGGAATTCCAGGACTGTAGGGGAGGCCGGAACGTCTGGCTGGGCACAGGTGGGAGGCGGACAGCTGCAGATTCTGCGGGAGCCTGGGGGTGGTGGCGGCTGTCCTCTTGCAAGTGCCTGCTGACACCTCCACTTCCTCGTGGCTCCACTGGCCCCAGGCCACTGCTACTGGTTGGGCTGCAGCTCTGGCTGGGGCTCCCCCACGGAGCCCAGCGCCACCAGCCCCGGGACGTCCACTCCTGGCAGGGAGGGAAAGTGTGTCACTGGAGGGACCAGCTTCTGGGCCATTCGGGCCTGGCCCACCAGACAGAGTCCTGGGCCGGAAGCAGACGGTTCAGCTCTGCCCAGACACACCTGGCCTGGTCCTGGCACCTCTCTGGCCCCAGAGGCCTCACCTGCCAGAGTACAGAGCAGGGTGAGCCAACACTAGGCCCCTCCCGCCCTGGGAGTCCCTGCTGGTGGTGAGACTTCCAGGGGAGGGGTGGCGGGCTGGAGAGCTTCGCCAGGTGCAGACTGACCCCAAGCCTCCCCGGGTACCAGAGACAACGGTGCTCTGCAGAGATCAGGCCCCAGGCTGCCAAGCGGACTGACCCACACAACAGCCTCCAGGGCTTGTTTCTGAGCAGGGCCCGGGCCACCAGCTCCCACGGCTGACCCATGGGGGATGGAGCCTTGGCACCAGCCAGCGGGAGGGAGTTCTCTGTCTAGCCCATGGGGTGCCTGCATGAGTGTACAGAGAGCTCTGGGCTGTGGCCAGGGCAGGAGGGGCACCTGGCAGAGAGGCAGCTGTGGCAAACACCAGGCGTCCAGGAGCAAAGCTTTATTTCTGCAGCCCTGGGTGGGCCAGGGCCGGGGCCGGGGTGGAGGACATGGCCAGGTTCCGTGCAGGCCCTGGGAGGCTGGCCCTGCCCTCTCCCAGGGCCCCACTGAGGCCGGCGTGGGCACAGGCAGGTGGCTCTGTCCAGGGTCAGCTCCTACTCCACTCCCTTCATGAACTCCAAGAACTCTGGGGAGAAGAGAGGTGTGGGGTCAGAGTCAGAGCCGAGGCGGGCTGGCCGGGGCAGGGCAGGGCAGCTCCGCGCGTGCGCGCCTCACCGTCATAGTCGATGCGGCCGTCGTTGTTCTTGTCGCCGTCCTTCATGAGCTCCTCGATGTCGTCCTCCGTGATGGTCTCGCCCGTGGCCTGCAGCATCAGCTTCAGCTCCTCCAGGTCGATGTAGCCGTCCGAGTTCCTGCGGGCGGGAGGGCCCGGGTCAGCACCGCACCCATGGCCCGGTCCCAGGAGCCGAGAGCAAACAGGGGAGGGGGCACACCGGCCCTGGACCCTGACCGCTGCGTGGGGGTGTGTGTGTCGGGGTCAGGGGTCACGGCTCACTTGTCAAACATTCGGAAGAGGTCGGAGAGCTCCTCTTCGGACTTCCCTTTGCTGTCATCCTTCATGCAGCGGACCATCATGACCAGGAACTCATCGAAGTCCACCGTGCCGCTGCCTGGGCGGGCACCAGGCGGAGGTCAGACAGGGCGGGCTGGAGCAAGGTGGCAACACTGGGGCACGCCCACCACGGTCTTGTGCCAGCTCGGGGGAGCCCACTAGATCTCTATGCCCGCTTGACAGAGGGAGGGCTGAGGCTCAGTCGGGGAGACTAACTGGTCCGCGAGCTGGGGTGATGTGCTGGAGTGGGGGGGGGCGGGCGGGGGCTCACCGTCCTCGTCCACCTCGTCGATCATCTCCTGCAGCTCCTCGGGCGTGGGGTTCTGGCCCAGCATCCTCATCACCTTGCCCAGCTCCTTGGTGCTGATGCAGCCGTCCTCCGCCCCCAGCACGAAGATGTCAAAGGCCGCCTTGAACTCTGGCCCACGGCAGCAGGGGACAGTCACTCAGGGCCCCAGGCCACAGCCCTGGGGCCCCCTGCCCGCCTCCCTGCAAGTTGTTGGAGGTCGCCAGCCTGGGCCCTCAGGCTGGTCAGCACCCGCCCTCCACCGGTCCCCCTGTGTTAAAGGGGACTTACCATTTTTCTGCTCTTCCGTCAGCTGCTCAACCTGTCAAAGATGGAAGATCTCAGGCCTCAGCCCCATCACTCGAGGAAGTCAGCCCATTCCACAGGCTCCTCTCTGTCCCCAGGTAACGGCAACTGATCTCCCCGAGACTAGGCTCAGGGTCAGAGAAACAGGTGGGGACCCTCTCCAGGGCCAAGGTGACCCTGAGTAACAATAGCTGGAGGCCAGTCAATACGCCTGCTTCCCCTGCTGAAACCCAAGCTGGGTGGACCAGGGACAGCTGTCCCTCGGGTCGGGACAATAAAACCAGCGGGGCTTTGCCCACCCACTGTAACCCGACCGAGGCGGCCACTAGGCTATTTTTAACGGGTGACAAAGTTAAACCTGGTGATTGTTCTGGGAACACTGGCATGCAGGGGTGGGGGGTGGGGCAGCGTTATCTGCGCCCCTAGCCTGCCTGTGCTGCCTCAGTAGCCAAAATTAGCCCCCAGCCCCGCCAGGCCTTCTATGGGCACAGGGTGGAGGGCTGCTTCCCCACCCAGCTCCGCAAGTCCTCAGGACAGCCAGCTGTGGCCCCTCCCTCCCCAGGATCAGGTCTCACCCTGGAGACTGCGGGAGGGTCCCCGTGGGGAGGATGCCTTATCCTGAGGAGGGGAGGTCTCAGTCCCAGGTGGAACAGCACCGGAAGCCCCTCAGCAAGCCCAGGAAGGTGCAGGGACTGGGGCCGGCCACTCCCCCGTCTGCCCGTCCTCATTCTCAGCCTATGCCCAGTGAAGCCAGGGCGCAGGGATCGGAGCCTCCAGATGTAACCTGGGTCCCTGGGTGCCCCTTCCCTTGCCCCTCCTTCCCTCTTCCTACAGCTCTCGCCAAGTCCAGTCCTCTGAGGAAACCCTCACTAGCCCAGGGTTTCCGTTTGGTGGCCCCTCTTCACTAACCCCCTCCAACTCTGGGGCTGGGGGTCTGTGAGTGAGAGCGGGGCAGGGTGTGAGGAACAGGAATGACGGGGCAGGAAGGCTGGGATAGGGGCTCAAAGACGGCGAGGGGGGGGGGGAGTAGAACAAAGAGGCTGAGGACAGAACTGAGTGACACAGGGGGACAGGATGGCAAGGTGACAACCTCCTCACCTAACACCTCCTCCCCAGACCCGAACAGCCCCAGCGTTCCCTGAGGGAGGAGGCATGAAGATACTCAGGCACTCCGGGCTTCCTCCTGGGTCCCCACCACCTCCCTGGCCCCCATGCCCAGCTGAGAGCCGGGGCTCCTCACCGCGGCCTTGTAGATGTCATCCATACTGGCAGCAACTCCCAGGGCAGACTGCCTGGGCTGCCAGCGCCTCGGCTTATATAGCCCTGCCCCACTGCATTCCCACCGCTGGGCCCAGCCCACCCCCAGAAGAGCTTCCCCTCCCCCCCCAGTGATCTCACTCCCAGGTCTTCTGCCCATGGCAGTGAGCAGAGAAGGGCAGTGAAGACCAGGTTTCTTACCCTCTGCCATGCGCCACCTCCCACCCATCCAGAGGAACCAGCACGGAGCACGCACCCATCCTCAATTAGGGGAGGGGCACTACTGCCCCCACTCTCCAGATAGGGAAACTGAGGCTCCGGAAAGGGCAAGGATTTGCCGGAGTTCTGAGCCACACCTGTGGGAGTGGAGGCAGTCTGCAGGGAGAGGCTGTGAGTGACCGGCCAGCAGTGCCCAGAGGAGCCCTAAATGCCGAGCTCGGAGTAGGGAGCTAGAGTTGGTGGAGGAGGGAGGCACTGGGCACCTCAGTGTGCTAGGTGATGGAGCAGCTTTTATCCAGGTGGGAGAGAAGCCCCCTCCCCAACCCCGACTTGCCCCCTCTGTCCAAAGAAACGCTGCCACCGAGTCTGTGCTGACCCCGTGGGGCAGAGCAGAGCTGCCCTGTGGGGTTCCCAGACTGTCCCTTCTCGGGAGTAGAAAGCCTCCTCCTTCTCCCAGAGACCAGCTGGTGGATTCGAGCTGCTTGACCTGGAGGGTAGCCCTGCGCTGCCAGGGCCCCGGATCTGCCGTCAACACATCTGGATTACAGCCCCCTCTTCTGGGTCCCATCCGCCCCTGGGCAGGGGCTGTGCCCGCGGCTCGCTCGCCTCGCCAGCGCTGCCCCAGGCCGGCCGGTCTTCCCCACCCACGCTGGGGTCCTGGCGGTGCACTGCACGGCCGCGGTTCGAATCCGCCAGCAGCGGCAGGTCTCTGCGTTTGGAGAGGTAGTGGCCAGAGTCGCCCTGCCC